TGAAAGCTCCTTTAGTGTTTTGTAGTGGGTACAACTAGAGTTGTTCTGTGTTAATCAGTCCTTTCTTATTACTGCAGATCAAGCTATTGGAGCTTTACACCAAGCTGGGGCAATCTCAGTTATCAGATCAACCCCTGATTCCTTGGAGAGTGCTGAAATTGAGAAATACAAGTCAGGCTTGCTCAAGAGATTTCAGGATCTTTGGAGAGTGCTGAAATTGAGAAATACAAGTCAAGCTTGCTCAAGAGATTTCAAGATTGTAGATACGATATTCCGTCTACAAATGTGTCAAGGTCTTCAGACTCTTAGCCTCCTATTACAGGCTGCAACACAATCTCAAAAAGGCCATGCCTGCATTGTAAGGATAGATGGATATGCCCTGTATCTTTTCTTTCTTCTTAAATATAATAAACAGAGTTTGAATTCAGTAAATTGGCCCGAATTTTCATATCAATGATCACAGGTGCTGTTTCAAAATTAGAGAACCATCACAATTTCAAACAATCGTAGATAAAATCAGTAAAAGGCCTGAATTTAGTGCATATTTCATAAGGTGGTGAATAATTCTACCAATATTGTATCTCTAAAAGGCTTGTAATTGGTCATTATGCTGTTTCATTTATGTCTGTAATGCACCAAATCATGCAATATCATTTCTTTTGGTACAAACATCATGTAATATCATTGTGATAGAGAATGTTTGTGAACTCTAAAGAAGCCATGCTATGAATAATACAATAGAATACAAGCACCTCAGCTACAATAAAAATGAGGAAAAGGAAAATCAATCATGACTTGGTCCCGAAAAAATTGTATATGTTGGTGGAAATGGCAATTGCGCTTGTAACTACTGCCAAGAACACCATTATAGTCGCCATGATTCTATCTCTTCTTGTAGATATGCCATGTACATCCCTGTAATTTGCATAGAATAAAGAGTGTCAAATTTAGCATTTTTTTTAACACAGAGAGAGAGAGAGAGAGAGAGAGAGAGAGAGAGAGAGAGAGAGTACCTTAGAACAATAGCACCAGGGAAAATGAAGGCAAGGCAGACTGCAGAGGTTGATCCTAGAAACTGAAAGATATACCAAATGTTTGGGAAGGCAATTGCTGCGAGGTAAGAGAAGACTAGCAGACCAAGAGTGAGGATCACAAATCTTCTGGTATCTGTGGCCAGAAGTGGCTTTTTAGGGAAGAGAAGTTCATCTAAGTTGACCCTTAAAGAGAAGTTCAACAGTGGGAAAACCAACATCAGATGAAGTGCATAGCTTAATCTGACCACATCATTAAGCAGAGCACCCATTGCTGAATCTGAACTTTTGTCAAAATTGACAAGTATGTCACTCATGATTGCATCTCCAAACAAAAGATACCCAAAAAGTCCAATGGAGAAATAGATTGCTGCACAAAGCACCAGTGAAATTCTGACCGCTGATATCATATCAGAGGGCTTGCCAAGCTCAAAACCAATTGGATGAACTGTAAGCCATCAATCAGAGAGAAACCAATGAACCACTGATCAGAAAATTCAACATGTAAATAATAAATTGTTCATTTCTTACCATTGAAATGAAAAGTGAAGGCTGTGACAATGACTGGAACAGCAGTGAAAAGATCAAAGAAGGAGGTTTGTTTGTCCAAGCTTGGTATCAACTTTGGGTTGCTGGTTTTTCCCTCAAAGATGGCATAGATTGCCATGGCAGAACTTATGCCAACAAAAACCACAGCAAGAAGAACTGCTATGGCAGAACTGTACTTGAGAGATTCTGAAAACTCCAGCCAGTTAGTAATTAGATGTCATCACAGACAGAGTTTACGTTTAAACACTCAGATAAGCATAATTAATAAGCACAGAGTTCAACAACATATAGACAAAAAAACGGCTGTTTCCTTCTGCAAAATTACTTACCCACACGCCTTAACAAGACCAGTGGCAGAAAAATGAACACGAGAGTGAACAAGATAGCAATATCACGTGAGTTCCACCACTGAATTCCAAACCACTCTTGCAGAACCCCTGAATGCCCTGTTCCTGAAGATCCATTTCCAGATAGAACATCCCCTGAAAATAAAAAAAACCAGAGAAAAAAAAGTACCCTTTAATTCTTATTAAGCTCTAGTTAGAAACAACAGAAAAAAAAAAGCTACTGAAAATTGAATCTTTCCAATTATAATCTGGTACATGATTAAGCACCCAAGATTTCAAGAAAAGTTTCCAAGTTTTTTTTACAATTTCGATGGTTTTTATTTAATTTTTATTGATATCAATAATATCCCGATATTTCCATCAAAATTTCAGTGTTTTTGGACTACCGATATTTTCGAAATCATCGATATTTTAGATCTTGGTTTGAACTATCACTTATTTGGAGTAAAAAAAAAAAAACTATGACTTGGCTGATGAGAAATTTGTGGCACTTGCATGTAAAGCAATTACCCGCTTAACTAGATTGAGAACAAAAACTCAATTATTGCTCTATCCTCTTCTAAATTCACATATAGAAAAGAACGCACATAAAAAACGGTGTTGACAGGTTTTGTCAAATAGATCAAAATACGTAGACAAGATGCCCCAAACAAAAGGAGAGTAGGGTTGGAGAGTTGTGTGAGTCTAGCTGCTGAATGGGGACACTTCATTTTCAGTATTTTGCTTTGGAGATTTGTATAGGTGGTTGAGAGGTCGTATTCAAGAGGAAGATATAGATAATGGATGGCTAGCTAACGTGGAAAAGCCAAAGATAAGACCTAATTTATAGGATAAAATAAATAAAGGATAAATAATGCCGTGGAAACCCACGTAAGATAATATACAAAAATGCATGCACAGGGTCGTCGTCAACATCACAGCACAAGAGACCAAGGATTTTGGTGATGTTCTTGTTTATAATATATAGTTGTTCTACAAATCTTGAAGGGATATCATGATCTGATTCTGAGTTGGCCAAATATGATATTCTTAACGGATCACGATCGTGATTTGAGCTTTATAGCTCTTGCTAAATTGGCAAGAACAAGTGTATACATGAACATTCTTTGCAGATTGATGTCTCAAAGTTACTACAGATTTATTGCAGAAGATAATTACAGCGAGGACAAATTTGATGAATTCCATAGTCACTAATAGTAGAACAAATACGTGTACAATGTATTATACACTGAGGCAGATTGTGTGGCTTTCAAAAACCTACGCCTAATCTGCCAAGTTCAGCCTCTTTGACTTCAAGTGTAGTAAAGCAGTTTATAATAATATGATGGCTAGCCTTGAGCTGAATTGTAAAGAGTGGTAGACATTGCAATTGAGCTTGTCACCACAGCCAAAATAATCACCAATATTGCAATTATCTTGTCCCTTCTTGTTGATATACCATGCCCATCCCTGTCAAGAAGTTTGAAACAAAAACCAGGTTTGATTAGTAAAACCATAAGTACCAGACCTGCTCGCTGCTCGCTACACTAGAAAAGTAGAAAGGATTAGAACTTGGTACCTAAGAATGAGAGCAGCTGGGAATATAAATGAGAGGCAAACTACGGTAGTGGATCCCATGAACTGAAAGAAGTACCATATGCTTGGGATAGCTATTGCCACAATGTATGTAAAGGAGAGCAGCACAAAAGTGAGGGACAGAAATCTTGAGGTGCTTTGGGCCAAAATAGGCTTATTTGGGAAAAGCAGTTCATCTATGTTGGCCCTTAAGGAAAAGTTCATGATAGGAAACACAAACAAGAGGTGAACTGCATAGCTCAGTCGAACAATGTCATTGATTATCTGCCCAATTGTGGAATCAGAACTTTGATCAAAGTTTACTAGTATGTCATCCATTACCGAATCGCCAAACAATAGGTAGCCAAAGAAACCGATAGAAAAGTAAATGATGATGCTGATCACAAGAGAAATCCGAGCAGCTGATCTCATATCAGAAGGTTTACCAAGCTCTGCTCTAATTGGATGAACTGCATTCATTCACGCAGATGCCATATATCAGCTATCAGAAATTTAGTTGTGTAACATAATCCAGATACCACAAGACCAAAAATGATGTGCCCTCACTATTGACATGGAATCCAAAACCTGTCACAAGAATTGGGATGGTGGTGAAAAGATCAAATACTGAGACTTGATGTGCAAAATCCGGAAATAGTCTCGGTTTCTGAGTCTTCCCTTTGCACAATGCGTAAATTGCCATTGCAGAACATATGACAACAAAAACCACTGCTAGCAGAATGGACACTGCTGAAGTGTGCCTAGTGAATCTGTAATTAAGCAACAAGCACTCTGTTGGTAAATCCCAGTATATACTTAACAATTTAACATGTTCTTTTGGTTGTTTGATATTTACATACTGACCTACTCGGCGTAACAAGACTAATGGAAGCATCACAAAGAGTGCAATGAAGAGAAGCGCATAAGCACGAGAATTCCACCAGTGGAAGCCAAACCATTCTTGTAAAATACCCAAGTGCAAGGTTCCTCCAGAATGACTTCCACATAGAACATCCCCTAAACCAAATTAAGAAAACTTCTTTCACTAGTGTAATTAGCACGGTATGCCACATTATCACATAGATTAAGTGTAATAAACAGCATAACAAAAGGGTTATCTTTAAAGTAGAGATAGCTTCCACACAAAAACAATCCATCATTGATTCTTTGTTTTTACTTTGTGACTTTTCCGTAAACATGTTCCTATCAGACACCAAGCATCCATTATAAGACAGAATGGCCCGGTGGGTCTTTTCTTGTTTTATATGACACAGATAACATAACAATCCATCATCAAACTAAGGTTTTTTCCCCAAAAAAGAAATGGGATTTTTATCTTATCAACAAATTTGAATGACAGTTGAGCAAATTTAGAAATCTAACACAATTGTTGAGAGATGATCCAATTAAGCTTACCAATGATAATGAAATAAATGATGAGGCAGCCAAGGTTGGTGATAATGACACAAATTTGCACAGCAATGGAACCCCAGGGTCCAAAAGACTCACCCAGCATGCCAGAATAGGTAGAAGACTCGCCTGAGTTTGTGTACCTGAGCAAGAACTCCACTGTGACCTCCACAACCAAGGCCACCAACAATATGAGAATGAACCCAGGAACTATGCCTAGGACCTTGATGGTTGCTGGAATTGACATGATCCCAGCTCCAATCATTGTGGTTGAGATGTTGAAGACAGCCCCAGAAAATGAAGCGCCTTTTTCTGATGATGATGAGTTTTGACCTTCCAAGGACTTGAGGTCCTGCAAGAGTGGATGAGTAACTGCTTCAGCCTCATCACTGTTTTCCTGCTTCACCATCTCCTTTGATTTTTTTTGGGAGCTATTCTGGGGATGCTTTGAGGCCTCAATAAATAGTTGGTGTGCTTGTTATTGGTTATTTTAATCCTGACATTGATGTGAACTAATACCAGGATTATCATTCCTGCAAGTTATTGGTTATTTTAATCCTGGCATTGGTTTGGTTTAACCCACCATGGACCTTCAAGTTGTTGGAGAGCCCAACATCTTCTCAAAAAGAAAACTGTTTGAGTTGGGCCTTCATTCTCCAGTCAAGTTTGGGTTTGATTGCTAAACCCAAATATGTCACAAATAAAAGGGATAACACACAATATTTTGATTTCTTCAGGAATGTTCTAAGAATATGCCAAAGTAATTCGAGTTTTCATTATTTACAATGCTAAAGGAAAGATATGCTAGACAATTCTCCAATGATGGTGTTTGTTACAAATGATAAATGAGTAGCTAGGTGTGAAATTAAATTTAAAGGAGTACAAAGCCAAGTGACCCATTCAACAATGTTACATAACTCAAGTTTTTCCTCATTAATTATTATTTTTCAATTTAGTTGGTATTTTTATTGAAGATTTTGAGACTATCTCGATTTTTCCAATTGACTTATGATATATATGGAAATATAAGAGATAGAGCTACATTTCCCATATTTTTCATATTTTTTTAGAAGGTAAAACGACTCCAAAACATGTGTGCAAGTTAGCTGTTTTGTTTTCCTAATTAAAGATGAATTGCTTTCCTAGTTAGTTCTCTTAGTTGTTTAGTTTTTGTTTAGTTTTGAGAGAGTTTTCCATATTTTTTTAGAGTGGGTTTTAGTTCTTTCACACTATTATAAGGCCAACCTAACTTCTCTCTACCATACCTTTTTACACAATTTATATTTAAGAGACAACAGATAACTTCGGCGTGTGCATCATTATTGTCTTTTGTCATAACTTTTCTTATAATGGTTTTGTTACATTGGAAAATAATGAAAACTTGAAAACTTGAATTGTCTAGCATATCTCCTTTGGCTTTGAGAATAATGAAAAATTGAATTCTCAATTATGGTTTTGTTACAATGATAAATGAGTAGCTAGGTGTGAAATTAAATTTACTACGTTTCCAGGAGATAATATGTTGCAACAGTCCGTGTCACTTTTAACAGTCAAGGATCCTTTGTTCAAGAGAATGGGGGCTTCTCGATTAGCTCAGTTTGCGATTGATGGTAACTTCAAAGTAGCTCTATTTTCTGTTTTGTCAGTATTTTATTTTGAAAAAATTCACTCATTGGATATACCTGGTTGACTGGTAATGAGTTACCAGTTATGTAATCGTTTTCAGAAACTGCCTTGCGTTTGAGCTGCATAACATAAGAAGTTATTATTTCTCAGACATCCAACTGTCTCGAATAGGGTTGTAAATTACGGTGTTAAATGGTTTGCCATGGGACTTCTATCTTGAGCTTTTGAATATGTAGCTACCAGTTATGTAATCGTTTTCAGAAACTGCCTTGCGTTTGAGCTGCATAACATAAGAAGTTATTATTTCTCAGACATCCAACTGTCTCGAATTGGGTTGTAAATTACAGTGTTAAATGGTTTGCCATTGGACTTCTATCTTGAGCTTTTTGAATATGTAGCACATGAAAATCAGGGGTCAGATAGTGAAGTTTGTTTCTCTTGATTTATAGATGAAAGGAGGATGAAAATAGTGGAGATGGGTGGTGCTCAAGAGCTCGTAAACATGTTGGTGGATGCTAAAGATGACCGCACAAGGAAGGAGGCTTTGAAAGCTCTTTCTGCTCTGTCACCCTCAGGTCAGGCTTTTCCATTTGCAGTCAGTACTAGATGCGCCTGTGTCCATCCCTTCAAACTTTCTTTCATTCTTAGAATAGGTGCACATCAACTGAAAGTCAGGGAATGCTAAAGATGACCGCCACCATACATTGCTGGTGGAATGAATTTCATTCCTGTTTATTACTGAATGGAAGAATGTAATTCCAGCAAAGTGTAGCCTTAAAATCTTTAGATGCATGAAGCATGTATTATATGCCCGCTACATTCAGATTTTGAATTTATATAGCAGTTTCTGTGAGTAATTCTCCAGTAAACGTAATGCACATTTGATAATTGTGGTAATAATATTTGGCAGTTTTGTGTAGGCAGTTGTTAAAAGAACATGTAATGTTAGTGCTTAGAAAACAAAAAGGCTAAACGTGTATTCTAGATGTCTAGAAAAACATGTTGTTTACAGAATTGACTTTGTGATTCTGTAGAAGTTTAATTTCTGAAAGCTCCTTTAGTGTTTTGTAGTGGGTACAACTAGAGTTGTTCTGTGTTAATCAGTCCTTTCTTATTACTGCAGATCAAGCTATTGGAGCTTTACACCAAGCTGGGGCAATCTCAGTTATCAGATCAACCCCTGATTCCTTGGAGAGTGCTGAAATTGAGAAATACAAGTCAAGCTTGCTCAAGAGATTTCAAGATTGTAGATACGATATTCCGTCTACAAATGTGTCAAGGTCTTCAGACTCTTAGCCTCCTATTACAGGCTGCAACACAATCTCAAAAAGGCCATGCCTGCATTGTAAGGATAGATGGATATGCCCTGTATCTTTTCTTTCTTCTTAAATGTAATAAACAGAGTTTGAATTCAGTAAATTGGCTTGAATTTTCATATCAATGATCACAGGTGCTGTTTCAAAATTAGAGAACCATCACAATTTCAAACAATCGTAGATAAAATCAGTAAAATGCCTGAATTTAGTGCATATTTCATAAGGTGGTGAATAATTCTACCAATATTGTATCTCTAAAAGGCTTGTAATTGGTCATTATGCTGTTTCATTTATGTCTGTAATGCACCAAATCATGCAATATCATTTCTTTTGGTACAAACATCATGTAATATCATTGTGATAGAGAATGTTTGTGAACTCTAAAGAAGCCATGCTATGAATAATACAATAGAATACAAGCACCTCAGCTACAATAAAAATGAGGAAAAGGAAAATCAATCATGACTTGGTCCCGAAAAAATTGTATATGTTGGTGGAAATGGCAATTGCGCTTGTAACTACTGCCAAGAACACCATTATAGTCGCCATGATTCTATCTCTTCTTGTAGATATGCCATGTACATCCCTGTAATTTGCATAGAATAAAGAGTGTCAAATTTAGCATTTTTTTTAACACAGAGAGAGAGAGAGAGAGAGAGAGAGAGAGAGTACCTTAGAACAATAGCACCAGGGAAAATGAAGGCAAGGCAGACTGCAGAGGTTGATCCTAGAAACTGAAAGATATACCAAATGTTTGGGAAGGCAATTGCTGCGAGGTAAGAGAAGACTAGCAGACCAAGAGTGAGGATCACAAATCTTCTGGTATCTGTGGCCAGAAGTGGCTTTTTAGGGAAGAGAAGTTCATCTAAGTTGACCCTTAAAGAGAAGTTCAACAGTGGGAAAACCAACATCAGATGAAGTGCATAGCTTAATCTGACCACATCATTAAGCAGAGCACCCATTGCTGAATCTGAACTTTTGTCAAAATTGACAAGTATGTCACTCATGATTGCATCTCCAAACAAAAGATACCCAAAAAGTCCAATGGAGAAATAGATTGCTGCACAAAGCACCAGTGAAATTCTGACCGCTGATATCATATCAGAGGGCTTGCCAAGCTCAAAACCAATTGGATGAACTGTAAGCCATCAATCAGAGAGAAACCAATGAACCACTGATCAGAAAATTCAACATGTAAATAATAAATTGTTCATTTCTTACCATTGAAATGAAAAGTGAAGGCTGTGACAATGACTGGAACAGCAGTGAAAAGATCAAAGAAGGAGGTTTGTTTGTCCAAGCTTGGTATCAACTTTGGGTTGCTGGTTTTTCCCTCAAAGATGGCATAGATTGCCATGGCAGAACTTATGCCAACAAAAACCACAGCAAGAAGAACTGCTATGGCAGAACTGTACTTGAGAGATTCTGAAAACTCCAGCCAGTTAGTAATTAGATGTCATCACAGACAGAGTTTACGTTTAAACACTCAGAGAAGCATAATTAATAAGCACAGAGTTCAACAACATATAGACAAAAAAACGGCTGTTTCCTTCTGCAAAATTACTTACCCACACGCCTTAACAAGACCAGTGGCAGAAAAATGAACACGAGAGTGAACAAGATAGCTATATCACGTGAGTTCCACCACTGAATTCCAAACCACTCTTGCAGAACCCCTGAATGACCTGTTCCTGAAGATCCATTTCCAGATAGAACATCCCCTGAAAATTTTAAAAAAAATACAGAAAAAAAAGTACCTTTTAATTCTTATTAAGCTCTAGTTAGAAACAACACACACAAAAAAAAACTAAAGAACATTGAATCTTACCAATTATAATCTGGTACATGATTAAGCACCCAAGATTAGTGATCATAACACATATTTGTGTGGCCACAGATCCCACCTGCCCAAAAGACTCTCTCATGACACCAGCATACGTGGTGGACTCGCCGGAATGCGTAAACCTCATCAAGAACTCAACCGAGACATCAGCCAAGAAAGCAATGATCACAATAAGCAGAAAAGCTGGTATGACACCAAGCACTTTGAGAGTGGCCGGGATTGACATAATTCCGGCACCAATTATGCTCGTCGACACGTTGAACACTGCCCCTGACACCGTTGCCCGCCTCACTGGCTTGTTCTTCGGCAGGAGTGGTACGCGAGCTCCGACGGCAGGCGACATTCCGATGACTGCTCTGCTTTTCTTGCTAGAGAGTCTTTTAGGGATGTTGTCTTTTTGTAAATGAAAGCTTTTAAAGTCCTGTGCATATAAATACAAGATAGGTGCATTGTTGGTAGAGGTGGTTTAATTTACCAAAATGTTGTTAATGTGCATTGAGGGTGATTATTTTAAGGGAGTTAAACGAAGGGTAGGATTGGAATTTCGAGTTTTAGTTTTATTGGTGGGGTTTTTAATAAGAAAGGACAGCTTGGAGTGGGTTTGTATTATTGTGTAACATAATAGAACCTGAAATAAAACGAAATTGTATTTGGATGGAAAAGTGGGTTGTGTGCTTTGGTCATTGGGGATTTTAAAATCAATGGTTTAGATACGGAGACGTATCTGGCAT